CTTTAAGTATTTGTAATTTAGACTGCCATGTGAGTTTACTAAAATTTTTTGTTAAATATTTACAAAGACTTCCATTGTTAGCATACTGAATGCTTTAAAGTATTCAGTTGTTTCTGGATTTTGAGTTATTTTATATATTGTGAGCTGACTATAATTTAAATTACATGTTATAAGGCTTTCAAACTTAGAGTTTAAATTATTAGTTTAATAAATCAATTAATAAATTAATTGTTAAATTAATTACAAAGCAGTAAATTACTTACTTTTTTTAAAAAAACTAGACAAGGTCTTGAGTGCAATGATACTATTTGGTTCTTGTGATCTTTTATATAAATAGTTGTTATCGTTAACTTTAATTTCTTCAATTTTTCATATACCAACTAACCAGATTGCAGAATATACTGAACCAAATTCTCATTGCCAATTTTTTTTTTATTAACTGATCTGTCATATGGAATCCAATCAATCATGCATTCATATTTCCAGATTCTAAACTGGAACTTTTTCATACAGAGGTCAATCTCCTTATTTCTACTTGTTCACCTTGTTGTTTCTATATCAGGATTGCATAATAGGCATCATACTTTATTTGTGTTAGCTTCATTACAATGCATACATTTACCATATTTAGAGTTGCTTCATAATCACAGTATATAATATATTTATTTTATTATTTCATTTGCCATGTTATTTTAAACTTTATGTCAAATATAAATTGATTTTTACTTACCAACTAAATTAATGTGAATGAAATAATAGTAATAGTAAATAATTATTTATGTTTTTGATTTGTAAACTAGGTTTGCTGTTCAAAATTCTAATAATTAATAAATGTTTTTTAAACTCATGTCCTGTATAAATAAAGGATATTATATAATAGTAATGGTAAATAAGTATTTATATTATTTATTTGTGAACTTGCTTTGCTATTGTTAATTCTAATGATTAGTAAATATTCTTTATAATCACTTACTAAATAAACAATTAATGCGAATGAAATAATTTGAGTATATTACATAATAGATATTATATAATAGTAATTGTAAATAAGTATTTATTTCTTGATTTATGAACTTGCTTTACTGTTCAAAATTCTAAGATTAATAAATGTTCTTTACACTTACTGACTGAATTAATGATTAATGCGAATGAAATAATTTGAATAGTATTATATAATTGTAATGGATAAATAAGTATTTATGATCTTGATTTGTGAACTTGCTTATCAGTTCAAAATTCTAAGATTAATAAATGTTCTTTACACTTACTGACTGAATGAATAATTAATGTGAATAAATAATTTAAAGAGTATTACATAATAGATATTATATAATAGTAATGATAAATAAGTATTTATTTTTTTGATTTGTGAACTTGCTTTGCTATTCAAAATTTTAATAATTAATAATGTTCTTTATACTCATTAACTAAATTAATATGAATGAAATAATTACATAATAGTAATAGTAAATAAGTATTTATGTTTTTGATTTATGAACTTGCTTTGTTTAAAACTTCAATGATTAATAATGTTCTTTATACTTATGAGCTAAATTAATACAAGCAATTAATTAATATTTATGAACTTAATTGTAATTAACTAATTTTTTTTATACTTACTCTCTAATAAATAAATTTAATTATTAAAATATTTACAATTTTTAAATTACTAAAAATAGAAAAATTTACTTTTCAATCCATTCATTAAACTTAATTATATTCTTTTCCATACCAATTCTGTAATAGTAACAAAAAGCAGTTTTTCAAATTCTATTTAAATTACCCATCTTGGCTGATTTCAAATAATTTTCAAATGCTTTTTGCTTATTAACTTCAACTCCAATTCTAAATTATAACAATAACCAACTTGATACATTCTATCTGAATTATTAAGGTTGGCAGATTTTGATAAATATAAATACTTCATTTTTATTCTTTTCAACCCTTATTACAAATTCTTAATAGTAACCAAGCTAATCATTTCTGTTTGCTTCATTTTTATTTGCAAATTTTTTATAATCATCAAATTTAGTAGTTTAAAAGTGTTAATTTCTTGTTTCATTTGAATTTGTAAAAAAAAATACAATAAAAAACTAGATTTAGTAATATACAAATTAGCATTAGTAATTTTATAACAACTATACAGCTAAACCTGACTTAAATTGTTTAATTCAAATTTTTTTTATTATAGAATAAAAATAATTATTGTTCTCATGATATTACTATGCTATTTAAATTTTTTAAATTAACTCTAATAAAAGTAATAAATAGTTATTAATAGGCAGATAACATATTTTCATCAGATGGAATGCCAAATAAATGCATAATATTTTTAGATCTAAACTTATGTTATAGAAATTTACCAATCAGCTTATATAACTTTTTTTAAAAAAAATCAATTATTTAACTTAATTAAAAGTCAAATTCATAATCAAACAATAAATTAAACTATTGAGCAGTTAATGCCTCAATGCTAGCATACAAAAATAAAATTAAAATAATATATTTTTATTATAATAAAATAAGCAATACATATATAAAACCTAACTAATACAAATCAATAAAGTATAAAGTAATAATTATGAAATATTTAGCAAACATCTGATAAGACAATAATAAAATTTTTTCACAAAAATCTTTACTGCTTTAGTGAAAAAGAAAAGGTGTATAAACCTGCAAAACAAACACATGAACATTTATTTTCACAATCAGGGAGATGGCCAAAACCAGGTGTTTCTATATGTTTTTGGTTATTTGATTAAAATTATAGTAAGAGGTTAGGGCATATCCTATAAGTAAAATTATCTTCCTGATGTTTTTTGCTTTTTTTCTTTGTTTTTGTCTTGTTGAGCTGATCTGAGAAGATCACATGTTATAATTTGATTGGCTATTAGTTATGTAAATGCATCTGGCTTTAGATGACCTCCACAATTGGAAATAATAGTAGTTTCATCATTTCATATCTTATATCAGTTTTATCACCTTTCGTCAGATTCATCACCTTTCATTAGTTTCATCACCTTTTATCAGTTTTGTTACCTTTCATCAGTTTCATCATCTTTCGTTAGTTTTGTCATTTTATTATTTCAATTTTTTTTTAATGAAAAACGAAACTAGATTTTAACTTTTATCAATAATGAAACTCTTAAGTTTTGTCTAACAATATTACTCAGGTCTATATATAGATTATTATATAGACAAAATATTTTTTTAGAGTAAAAATACCTAATCATTTTAAATCTCAAAATAATGGATATTTGGGAACCAAGTATATTATTTTTAAGAGATTCAATTTTTAAAATGCTTGTGCCTACTATTTTTATATTAACCATGTGCATGTTGTATTGAAATTAAATAAAATTGTTATTAGTAATACAACTATACTATTTTTAATGCATGTTTTATTTCAAAGATTCAAATATGTCTAAATTTTTGATAAATAAATGCTTTATTTTTTTAATCTCTATTCTAAATTGATAGTAATATTCAACACAATTCATTGTATTAGCATTTCTAAGCAAAATCCTGTTCCTTCATTCCAAACTAATGACAATATCTAACTTCATTGCATTAGTATTTCTATTTTGATAAATGAATGCCTTGAGTTTATCTGTTTAATTCCTCTTTCAAATTGATAACAATATTCGATTTATAATATTAGCATTTTCATATTTGCAAATGAATAAATGCTTTATATTATCCTTTTCAATTCTTATTTCATGTTAATAACAATATTCAGATATTATAATTCTATCTCAACTGACATTTAATATATTAGTACCAGCAATTTGAATATTTAATTGATTTGTCTTCATAATATGTACCTTCCTTCTCTTCATCATTTTCTTGGATATTAATCACTTCTTCATTAAAATCAAATTCATCTAGAGTTAACTAAATTAATATGAATAAAATGAAATTAAGTAGTAAATATTTATCAGTTTGCTTATTTCAAACTATAAGTATTTTTATACTTGCATACTAAATTAGTGTAAATAAATAAAATTAAATAGTAAATATTCATAAATTTAAAATAACTTATTTTAAATATTTAGATTACTAAATGTCTTATTGACCTTGATTTTATTAATCTGCATTTATATCCAAATTAATGTCTTAAGTCAGATCACAAAAACTTTTATGATTATTTTCATCGTTATCTATATCTTGAGTTAGATCACAAAAACTTTTATTATCACCTTTATCATTATCCACATCTTAGATTAAACTATTGGCAACCACATTATTGCTTGTTTCTTCTAAACTTACAAATACATAATTACCATTTTTACATTGATTTTCTGAATTCTTAACCTACTCATAGTTGAAAATTTTATCTTCTTCTGATCCATCTCTGGCCACAGAGACACCACAGCACTTAAAAGCCCATACAATAAGTGCAAAATCAATCTGATTCCACACAGCTTTTATTCAGTTAGCTACTTGACTATATAAAAAATGTTGAATATGGCCTGAAGGAATTAAATTTAAAATTTTATTCACTATTCATTCATTATAACACTTGCAATACTAATTAATAAAATTAATATTTCATCAGAAGTCTTTTAAAAAAAAAAAACTATAATTACTAATTAATAAATGTCAAAAATGATACTAAAATTTAGAGTTTTAATTTATAAATATAAACTTTGCTAAAATCCATCATACTTTTTTATTATAAATATTAACTTTAAACTAACTCAAAAAAGCTTAAAAAAATTCTTCAAAAAAATTTCAAAACTTCAGATTAAAATAAATCAAGTTTCAGCATCATTCCTGACAATAATATATACCTTATTCTTGAATGATTTATTGATATAGACATCCAATAGTTGCAGTTTGCTAGTTAATTTACTAAGAATTATAGCTATATTGGTGCTTTTTTCATAGAATCGATTTTTAACTTCAGTTGTAAGGTGGCCCAAGAATGAATCTAAAACCAGCAATGAACAAGGGTTAACAGACAAAAGTAATCATTTATTTTAAACATTTTCAATTCACTAAACTATTTCATTTGAATTCATATATTCTTCAGGATTGGTTCGAATAATAATATCAGATAGAATTTTTTGTTGTAGTATATTACTAACTTGAAGATTATTACTGGTAGCAATTTTTTCTATTAGCCATGCAACTAAGTACAACTGTGAAGTTGGACTTTTTATATTCTGTTATACAAATTCTAATTGTTTTGGCACCAGTTTCATCAATAATATAATTTGACAACATGTCAAAAGACAAAAAAGTTTCATCTATGTTGCCTATTAATAGAAGAGAATAATCATGTTGTATGCATCTATATAACATAAAATTTAAAAATAAATGTCTTTGTTCTTCGAGATCAGTTAGTAAATTTTGTGAAACTGTAGTTCAGTAATGGTTGCTTAGTTGATAATAGTTTATAAACTTGTCTAACCACTTATTACTCTATTTACATTCATGAATTTTTAAATAAAATGAAATATAATGTGTTTGCTTGGCTAGTTGTTAAGCCTTGCTTCTAACTATGTATCAGGATACTACTTTTTGTTTCACATATAAGGATTTTATCCAAGATACACGATCAGTCTTTAATATTGAATATTTCTCATGTTCTCTGGTATTTAATTGTCTAATATGTAGTGGAGAACTTATTAGCTGTTCTTTGTTTTTGATCAATTTATGCAATTGGACTAGTTGTATATCAAATCATTTAGCAGTATTTCGCTTACTAGCAGTAGGATTTTTTTCAATATACATGATAATAGCCAGTTTCTCACAAGTGTTCTAACTTCCTTTTTTTTTTGTAATATTGGCTTGTTTTAAATTTTTTCTATGTCATGTTATTCTCAAATTTTACAGATAAAATTTTAATACTATATTATTATAGCTCTGCTAACCATAGCGAACTAGAGATCATAGTAATGAAAAATTATACTAATTTTAATAAAATTAAGGTATCAGACTAGACTTTTAAATGAGATGTTGGGCTAAATATTTAATATAAGGCTTCTACTTTTTTTTTATAAAGTCTAAAGGCTTGGAGTGCATGTTTAAAACAGACTTTTAATATGTTGTTTTTTACTTTTTTTTAAAAAAAATTAAGGTAGCCAGTTGTCAAGATAAGGCATCAATTTTTTTTTTTTTTTAGTCTTAAGTGAGTATTTGAAACAAATTTCTAACAAAATAAGTTTTTTTTTGATTTTTGTAGATTGAAAACTTAGGTTGTCCAAGTTAAAATTTTTAGAGAACAAAAAAAACATTTATCCAACTTATTTATACTAAACACATTTATTTGCTACCCTATATCATCATGAATTATCATTACTTTTTGTACAAATATGCCATTGTGATTAAATCAAAATTGATAATCAAACCTTCTGTTTAAATACTCACCACTACTATACCCCCAATTACTGTATCCTTTTTTCTTGTAATGTATCCTCTTGGATACATTATAGGTTTTTGAGTAGTAGAATGTAATATACTCAGATACTCTATATAGCGATTTACAGTACAAGGTACAATTTTTGTATAAAATTTATTAGAAACAAATATAGAAAAGAGTAGATTGTATGTTAAATAAGGTTCTATTTAAGAATATATTAGTAAATTTAGTATAAATTTAATTAAATATAAATTAAAAAGTGATCTGATATTATATAAAAAAACATGTAAGGATGAGCAGACCAGGGTAGGAACAAAAAATAAAAAAAGAATTTTTACAAGAGAATAAAAATTAAATTTGACTGTAATTTAGTTAATATTTGGCCAAAAATCTTTGTTTAGAGCTTGTTTTAATCAGAAAAGGGTACTCTAAATTTTTAATTAAGAGTATAAAGTAAGTTGTGACAATAATGTTTATGTAATAATTGAAATTATAAATTCTGAAGGCTAAAGGCCATCAGTACATTTTCTTAATGAGTTTAAATTCTAAAGACTTGAAACTTTTAAAATAAATTTAAAATTTAGTACTGAACAAGTTTACATAAGAGCCAAAAACAAGTTAACATAGTAAAATAAATAGTTATAAATGATTTCGTATAGATGAATTTTTGGTTAAGATTTGTATAAAGGATTTGCAGAAAGAGTTCAATAAATTCATTTAAGTACAGGTATTATTTCTCTTTCTTCAGTATTTTGGTTACTAAAAAAAAACATTAGCAATTTATTATATCAAAAATCTAGATGATGTTTCTATAGTTATTTGTATTATTTGTAAAAATAAATTTAGTAGTAAAACAGCAGCAGATACATTATATAAGCATTTTGATACATAATATCTAGACTAAAGTATGATTGATCTTTTTGCATTTATACAAAATTATTCAGTTTTAGTACAAAATTTAATAGCCAATCAAAAAGCATGGTTTAATCTTTTATTAGTTGAGTGAATTGTTTCTAACATGTTATCTTTTTTAATTATCAAAAAACAAAGCATTAATTGTTTTAGTATGATACTTTAATACAAATATTGAATTATTTTTATATAAAACTGTTAAATTAATCATGCAAAATTCTTTTATTTTAATAAGAAATAATATTTAAATTCTTTTTAAACAAGTTTCTAGTCAAATTTTAATAATATTAGATCTTTGAACCTCTTATGCAAATATATCTTTTCTTAATATAACTGTATACTAGATCAATGATAATTAGAACTTTAAAAAATTTTTAATTAATATGTATATATTGTTATATTTACTGTTATTTGGCTAAGTAATATATATGTAACATGTCTAACCAAATAAGGGTAACCTGGCTAGAAAAATCAGAATTATCAAAAAGGACTAAATATAGGAGAAGTTCTTTCTGATGATTAGAGCAAAGCAAGTAACATAGTCAATAATAGAGAAAACACTAAAGTAGTTATAATTATTATAGTCTTAGATAACATTAATTTTTTTTTTTTTTAATATTAATGGTGAGGCCATGCCTCTATCTTTATTGGATATTTATTTGAAATTTTTTTATATAAAGTATAAATTTACTTTTAAAAATATTATAAAAAGAGTAGAAGCTCAGACTAGTTTACCTGTGACCTAAACCAACAGGAGTGGCCAAGGCTCACCTAGATTTGTGTGTTTGTAATAATATATGAAAGGTTAGTTTGATATTTTATCTATTGTATATACCAGGAATTAATTTTAGAATAAATTGAATTAGAGAGAAAAGATTGAGATGAATGTAAAATAAGATTAGAAGGTGAATTAAAAGTGGAAAGATAAGCTGTTAATCTTGAAATACAGTAAGGAATCCAAATTTTATGATATACTTGTTGGTTAAGGTGAAGCAAAAACTTTATAATTAGAGTTATAGCTATTTTTTAGATGATAGGTTTGAAACAATAGAAATAATTTCATTTGGCACTAGGCCTGATAGAGTTGAAAAGACTAATGGTAAGTTTACTGTGTTGTGTGAAGTCATACAATACAGTCATTTAATTTGGCAGTAAAGTTCAGTTATAGTTTCAAAAGTAATATCAAGTGTATTTGTATTTAAAATGTGTTGTAATGAACTGTCAATAAGGTTGTATAGCAGTTGATCGGATGAACATATTATCCAATAAAGGTGAGAACTGGTTTCATGACATTGGTGACAAGTTGGTAAATATGAGTGGTATCATTTGTGTAGAGTGTATGGAGTAGGAAGATCATCAAGTAGAATTTTAATTCTGAAAGATTTAAGAGCAGAGGATTGAAAGCTGTGTGAAAAGTTTGAAATTTTTTGATTGTTGTTGATGTATAACCAAGTAGCTTGCCAATTAATTTGGTTGAAGATTTTGTTTTACTTTTGAAATTGGTTTTGTGTAGTCTATAAAGCGTAAATATGTGCATGACAGATTGTACGAATACTGCGATGAATAGGTAATTCTAAAGAGAAGTTTTCAAGATTTAAAGTATAAGATGGATTATAAATATTGTATAACATAAAAGTTAGATATGATAGGTTATAATGGTTTCATGCTAGTTGGTCAGCAAGGTTGTTGTACATGTTGTCTTGATGTGCAGTTATTTTGTGAAAGATAATTTGAATTTTGTATGAGTTGACAAAGTTAAT